CCGAAATGTGGCCTCCAGATGCCAAGATGATGGGACAACGCCGCGGTGGAGAAGCGCCGCGATAGGTCGCGGCGCGCACAAAGGGGGTGGGGGGAGGGAGGGAGGGCTGCTTAGAAGGAGGCTGCTTCTTAGAAGGCGCCGGCCTTACATCTACTGATGCGGCCCGCGCCTTCTGGGAAGCAGCGGTGGTTCTACGAAGCCTCCCCCTCTCCCCCCACCCTCTCTGCGCGTGGCCGAGACACGGTCGGACCCAGGACAGGAGACCGTCCCTCAAACACACGAGACCCTCCGCCGGCTCACACGAAGAACACGAGGTCACCCTCCCCGAACCGATCTCAACCGTATGCTCGGGACGCGCAAACATGGACTAGCCATCCATGGATTCGGCGCGCGGTCGCTTGATCCATGGACCGGGGGGAGGTGCCTGCCCCAAAATGCGGCCGGTGCCGCCTCACGCAAACCCGCGATCCCCAATGAAAGCGGGACCCGTCGCTAATCCACGCCCCCTCAATCCATGTTTGCGATCGCCCGATATACTTCGGCCCGGCTGCAGGACAAATCAAATCGTCGGACGTCTGGCGCGCGGCGGCGATGGGCTCAGCACCTCATCCCCCCGCGGGCGGGGGGGGATCGCGGAGAGGCCCACCGCGCGGCGGCGCCGCGCTCCTGCGAGCCCCGGGCGGCGCCCGGGCGGCGGGCCGGCTGCCCCCCCCCCTCCGCCTGCCCGGCCGTAGACGAAGCCGGGGCGAGGAGAACGTCGGGAGGATGCCTCCTCCTCCTCCTCCTCCTCCTCCTCCTCCTCCTCCTCCTCCTCCTCCTTCTCCTCGTCCTCCTCCTCCTCCTCCTTTTCCTCCTCCCCACCTCGGGAGATGTCCTCCCTCCTCCTCCTCCTCCTCCTCCTCGTCCTCCTCGTCCTCCTCCTCCTCCTCCTCCTCCTCGTCCTCCTCCTCCTCCTCCGCCTCCTCCTCCTCGGGAGGACGCCTCGGCACTGGAGGGCGCCTCGGGACGCCGCGCGGCCTTCTCAGAGCGCCCCGGAACGCGCTGCAGCGCGCGCCGGAGCGCTCTCGGAGCGGATGCGTCCTCGCCCCCGCCCCGTCCAGCCCAGGCCTGCAGGGGTCGGACGTATCGAGAGTGTGTTTGCTCTGTTGTCTGCGGGTCTCGTATCGTTGCAGCTGCAGCGTTCCCCTCACCCTAGGGTGACGGGAACGCTGGAGAAGAGGAGCCCAGGGTCTGGGGGCTGGTGGAGCTCCGATCGTGGATTGGCCGTGGACCTCACCGCCCTCGTGAGACAATCATCCAGGGTCCGAAGCCACCTGGCAGATTCAGAGGAGCAAACAAAAGGGCACGAACACAAAATTCTTGACGGTCTGCGCAGATTTCTTGGATCTGAGCTGGACCCCCTCGGGCGCAACGGTGTTCCGCACGGCATCCGAATGCACGAAACCGAACAAAAACACAGGGAATGGACGTCCGAGCGACGGCGAGGGCTGCATGCTTGGTCCGGACGGCCACGACCCTGTGTACAAAAAACGTACTGGGGCGCACGCGGCCGTGCTCTCCCCCCTGGCTGCAGCCGACCTCCTGCTTTGAATGGGGCCCTGGGACACACACACACACACACACACACACACACATACGCACACACACACATAAATACTCACAACTAGAAGGATCCCCCATATCTTCCTATATCTTCTGGGTGTTTGTCTCCCCCCCCCCCCACTTCCCATATTTTCCCATCTGTTCCTGGGGGTCGACGATGAATCGTGTCTGTGTTTTTGTTCCCTCCTGATGCTTCTTGACCCGCCTCGTCTCCCTTGCTGCTATGCGGGTGCTTTGCTGGGGTGATCCCCTCTCCGAGACTCGGGACGGACCTTAGCCGCCCCGGTACGCAACACGCAACCCGTAGCGTGTTGACACTGCCCTCAACGCGTAGAATGAAAAAGCAGGTCTGGCGCGGTACGTTCGCCCAGCCATGGGCCCACACGTGCCGAACCAGCCCGCAGCGCGTTACGCCGACGTTTCGAACACGCCACGTGCGGTGTTTCGGAACGAGCGTATCAGGGCAGCCAAGGGACGAGCAAGCCGGCCCCAGGGAAAGGCTCGTCGGGGGCCCAGGGCCAGGACCCCGAGTCTCGACAGCAACGGGGGTCGCCGCAGGTCCGTGTCGCGGCCGCCTGCACGCCGAGAGGCAGGTTCTGTTCGGGCGCCCCGAGCGCACAGCCTCGGCTCCGGACGCAAAAGAGACAGCGATGCGGGTGCGTTGGATGAGGGATCGATGAAAGGGAATTCGAAGCAAGCAGGTAGCGGCCGAAGAAGGACATGGAATACACTTGTCACCCGTCAGGGACGCCTGCCCCAGGGCGGCTCGAAAGCTTACACCCCGACGTGCCACCGCAAGGGTATGTGTAAAATCTCCAGCCGCCCTGGGGCAAGCGTCGGCGACGGCAGGAACATGTACATGATACCTTATACCCTTCGTCCGCTGAGGCATTGCCTAACCAAACCGTGCGAGGCGGGGACTTCCCCAGATCCACCGCCTGTGGAGACTGATATCCAGGGACCCCACGGGGCGGTGGGTATGAAATATCGGGGGGCATGAGGCCCTCCTGTATCCCTAACCGCCGCCTGCTGAGATTCCCGAGGATCGATCCACAGGAGGTTGTTGTGGGTATACCCCCAACTCCGAGAGTTGGGTTTTCCCCTCCCCAGGCCTTCGAACCTCTCGCGATGGAGAACCTGACGCGCACGGCAAAGAGAAAGAACTGATCGCTCCAGGGTATCGCCCTCCGAACAGCAATGGAAGGGCCCGATGTGCAGACCACGCCGCCTGGTCGGCCAAGGAGCTCGGTGCGTGGACGCCCTGGCTCCTCAAGCTGCAGGACGCTGGACCGTCCGTGCACCGCACTCGCTCGCCGAACTCGTTGGCCCCCAGGCTTAGGTCGGGCGTGTCCCCTTCAGGGGGTTTTGGGCGAACAACCAAAAATACCCCAAAATACCCCAATACCCCAAACATGTCCCCAAACACTAGGAGAATAGTCCCCCGACTATTTTTCTACTGTTTTTGAGCATTCCCCCCTTAGAAGGACAGGCCCGACTTAACCCCAGGCCGACCAAACCACGTGGTGCATACATGGGAGAGGCAGAGGTGGAGGGGGAGGGGGAGGAGGAAGGAGGAGTAAGGAGGAGAGGAGAGGAGCAGGAGAGGAGGAGGAGGAGGAGGAGGCGGAGGAGGAGGAGAGAGAGCGGAGGAGGAGGAGGAGTAGGAGGGAGGAGGAGGGAGGAGGAAGGAGGAGGAGGAGGAGGAGAAGGAGGCCCATTCCGGACGTTTTGAACCCGAATGACATGGACACCTCCTGGGAGGGCACCCGGTGGTTCCGACGGCCCTTCCGCCCGCGGGGGCCGCCCCCGCGCTGCCTCCGCCGCCCTCCGCTGGCCTCCCGCCGCCCCTCGCGGAGGTGCTGACTGCGCCTCGATCTCCCGCAGGCGAGGCCCCTCACTGGAGCGCGCCGCGCGGGGCCCCTCCGAACAACACTCCACATCCAACGAAGCCGCCGCATGTTGGAGGCAGCCAGGGGCTCTGGGATGGATAAGCTCGGAGAGAATCGGTCAAGAGAGCGGGGCGAGGGCGAATCCGATCAAAGTGGATCCCAGGACCCCTCCCCGGGGTCGGAACGGACCGGTTGTTCCGGGTCACCTCAGGCCCCCAGCTGGCTGCAAGCCGCGTGTAGCATGTAGCCTGGCAGCGGCAGCTACAAGCGCCCTCAGATCGGCTGGGCCGAGGTGCTCTCGGAGCAGGCTGCCACCACCGCCGCCGCCGCGGCGGCGCCGCACGTGCCAGACCCGCCATCGGAGCGGTGGCTCAGTTCGGCCACCGCCCGCCATCGGAGCAGTGGCTCAGTTCGGCCACCGCCCTCTCGTGCTGCTGGTCGGTGATCATGTACCTCGGAGAATCCAGACCCCCAGAGATTCCCACATAAACAAATATACAAATCTATATCTATCGGTATCATGAACATGCACATATACACATACGAACACAAATACTGTGCATAAACACATACATGTGCATGTACATGTACATATACGTGCATGTACATCTACACCTACATTCATAGACACATACCTTCACCTACCTATATGCATATACATGCATATACATTTATATAGAGATGTATGCATATACATATCCAAACACGCATACATAAACAGATTCGTGTACACACGTATCAGAGTGTTCATATATAGATATGCATGCGCATATGCCTGTACGTGTACGTGCACATAGACCTGTACATATACATATACACACACGTATTCATATACACGTGCATAGACATGTACCTATATATGTACATCTAAATCAACGCCGATATTCGCATGAACCGTAATCTATACATGACCACGCATGTATACATTAATAAAATAGTTGTATGTAGTGGTTGTTAAACTTGTCAGGGTGTAGCATGCACAATGTGTGGCAAGTATTGAAGAGTGTGTATGTATACACAAACGCAATGATAATACACATACTGCACAACATATGCATGTATGGCATGGAGTGTGCGTTTACAGTGGCAGAGCACATGGCGCTGGCGATGTGTAGTATAAACACAAGTGCGCATGTGCACGTCTACGTCTATATGCGCATACACATCGACGCACATACGCGCATGCACAACATGTATGTATGCATACATGCATGTACGCACATACACAGATGCAGCCGTGCGTGTACACGTATATACATGCATGTGTGCCTGCATGCATGCAGACATGCAGACATGCATACGCACATACACACACGTACACATAGCAATATGTTTACACGAGTTTCAAGTATAACGCACAGATGTCTACACATGTATACACATCATACAGTATATATGCACACATATATATACGTACATACATACATACATACATACATACATACATACATACATACATACATACAAATCTCGGACCATGGGGCCAACAAACAAGACAAACAAAACATATTGGCGAGAGTCGACAGGCCCCGGGGCCCGGACCTGGAGGTCTTGGGAGGGCCCGCTGAGACAACGGTGGCTCTGCGGCCAGGCCCAAACCCGCTGAGAATCTATCCCCAGACGTCTCCAGTGGTTCATCCTAGCCAGTTTTTCGTTCCGGATCCAGCCGTGGCGGCGAAAAGCTCCCCGAGGACCCCAGACGTCGGGCGGCTCGGAACAATCGAGACGAAGGTTTTCAGTATTTCTGGCCTCTCGGAGCCCCTACTGGGCCTCGGGACCATCAAAAATCGACTCGGGATGAAAAACCAGCCCTGGAGAAGTTGTCGAGATGTCGGCCCTTTTCTAAAAAAAAATCGAGACACCGCATGTCTGGGACTCCGACTTCGTTCTGTTGTCACAGCGTGGACCCCCAGAGCACCGAGGTCTGCACACCTCTCCCAGGATCGGCTTTCTATCCTGAGTCGTTTTGTGGACGGTCCTGGGGCACGGCGAGGGCTCCCAGAGGGCGGAAATAGCGAAACAACATCCGTCGTGATTTTTCCACGGCGCGAGCATGTCTGAGGCCCAAAATGAAAACGGGCCCTCCTCGCGAGCGCCTGCGGCGGAAGCCCGCCACCGCCTCGTCGTCCGGGTCCAGGCCAGCCCGGTGCGCCGTCTCCAGCACGGCGCCGTACTGCAGCGCCCCCGCCTCGCACCCCGCGCTCACAGCCTTGGACACCAGCGAGGCCGCCAGCACGCCCTGCTCGGCAACCCAATGCAAACCCTGTCCCTGCAGGTCAAATGTCCGAAACACAGGCGGGGGTTCAGAATCCGAAGCATGCCTGCAGCCAAGTGGACCCCAGCGGGGTCGTCCGATACCCCAGCGTCGAGTGGACCCGTACTGGGGAAACCAAAGGGTACCGGTACCGCTACTCCCCGGACCCCTCCCTGTGTGCGTTCTGACCAGGATCTCGAGGAGAATCCAGCGGTGGCGACGAGGGCCTCCCAGGCCAGACACATCCTCATTCAGATGAGGAGACACAAACAACTACGGTCAGAAAAATTAGCCATCAGGCGAATTCAGCTCTCTGTTGCTGCCTACGCGCGCGATGATCGGCCAGTGCTGAGTGAGCGGCTTCGCTGGGGGCATGCGGGCAGGAGTCATGAAGGGGCGGGGAAAAAAGCGGAGGGGGAAAAAACACGAGAGGCGAGGGCACAGCGCGGTCGGCACCTCGCTCCTCCCCTGCCGTGCACACGGGGGGGCAGGGCTTCGCGGAGCGCGGCGGCCGCGGGCCTGCAGCGCGTCCAGGGCCTCCGGGGACGCCCGCAGCCGCGCCCAGGGCAGCGCGAGGCAGCGCGCGTCGCCCTCGGCGACCACCGTGGCGATGGCCGGGAGCGGCGCGGCGGCGCCCCCGGCGGCCAGCGGCGGCACCTCCAGCTCACCCACGAGGCGCCCGCGCCCGAGCGTGCGCAGCTGCCGCCCGCCCTGCAGCACGCGGCAGGTGCCCGAGGAGACCAGGAACACGGAGTGCCCCTGAGAGGCTGGCGTCCTCCCTCCTCCTCCTCCTCCTCCCCCTCCTCCTCCTCCTCCTCCTCCTCCTCCTCCTCCCTCCTCCTCTTTCTCCGCCTCCTCCTCCTCCTCCTCCCCTCCTCCTCCTCTTCTTCCTTCCTCCTCCTCCTCTCCTGTCCTCCGCCCCTCCTCCTCCTCCTCCCCTCCTCCTCCTCCTCTCCTCCTCCTCCCTCCTCCCCCTGCGTGTGCGCGGTGGTCCCACTCGGGGGCGTTCGGGGCCTGCGCGGCGTTCGGAGTCTACGTGCTGTCCCGCTCGTCCCGCTGTTGAGGCGTCAGGGACCCACACGGGTTCACTCTTGTCTCGCGTCGGGAGCGTTAGTAGGGTGAGCACAAGGCTACCTCGCTTTTGACCACCCTCGCTTCCAAGAGATACCAAGCGATGCCAAACTACGGCCTGCACTGGTCAGGCCGCTTGACGAGGAGGCGCGTGGTATGACTTGGTTTTTCCTGGAAGCGGAAGCGGTGTAGGTAATTCACGCTCTGATTGGCGGCGCGCACAAGGGGGGTGGAGTAGGGGAACGAGCAATGACATAAGCATAAAAACTCGGAGGTCCGCGCGGATTCCTCGGATCGGCGCTGGACCCCCTCCCTGGCGCGCGGAGAGCGCCAGGGGCGGCGCCGGAGGCGCCGCCAGGGGGCTACAGCGCCGATCCGAGGAATCCGCGCGGACCTCCGAGTTTTTAATGTCATTGTTTGTTCCCCTATGGAGGGAGGGGGGAAGGCCTCTCAGAAGGGGGCTGCTTCTCAGAGGGCGCCAGCCTTGCATCTGCAGATCGGGCCCGCGTGGCTGATTTTTCTTGGTGGGCCACAATCCAAACGACACCAACCTTCCTACGACACAGCCATGTTCAGAGTTCAGGCTCTTGCTCACCTACGACCACCGGCGGCCCACCCACTACACCACCCCACCTACGACCCACCTGCGACCCAGCGGGTCTCAGGTGGGGTGGTGCCGACTTCCTCTTGGTCGACTTTTAGGCTCAAGCCAGTTTACTTGCATAGCATGTCTCCCCTGCCCCATCCGCCGCCTTTTCGAACAGCGCTGGGCCGAAAAGGCGTGCCAGAGAGTCCCGACTTGATGCGTGAAATCCATATTTCCTCTCAGGCATCGCCACGCGCCACCCCTATCCGCCTTCGTGCAAATCAACTTGCCAGAATCTGAAGAAAGAACGCCTCCCTCGGCCAGTACTGGCTGGCGTCGCATCGCCAACTTGTGGTCTGATCGGGCCGCACCGGCGCGGAGTCAGAGTTGGATCGAGTCGGCCGCGCCAGGCTGCACAACAACGTCACATGTGAACATCGGGCCGCTCTGGATCGCCGGTGTAGATCGGAACCGGTCGCTGTACATCGGAACCGAACCAGACCGAGCCCGCTGAGGCCGATATCGCATCCAACCGATCGGATCGGAATTGGGGAAACCCAGAAATACTGATACCGATGCCGACACTCATCGGACCTCTCCTGGTGCGTTCTGACCAGACCTGGAAAAAGCGAATCCAGCGGCGGCGACGCGGGCCCCACAGGGGGCGCCAAGAAGGCGAAAACGAGGCAAGGGTGGCGGTATTGGTACCTTTTTTCCTCCTCGGGGGGGACTGCCTCGTGGCTGAGGCCCTCCTCCAGGAGCACCTCGCCGCCGCGGAGCGCGCGCCACTCCCCGACCGCCAGCAGCGAGGCGAACTGCCGCCGCGTGAGCTGGTCGTCCAGCTGGCCCTGCAGGTCGGCCAGCAGCGCCTCCTCCTCCTCGAGGAACACCGGGTCCGGGCGCACCAGCAGGAAGACGCGCGCTACCAGGAAGATCCATGGAGGCCCCACGCGGCAGCCCGAGCACCTGTCTGCCTCGGATCCGCGTGCCGGAGCCACGCCAGGATTCGCGCCGGATGGTCCTCGGATCTGGCCATCGCCCGGACGTCCATTCCCTGTGTGCTTTTTTTCGGTCTCGTGCGTGGTTTCTTCGCCAAAATGATCAAGGATGCTCCTCGGTGGTCCTCGCCGAAGGAAAAATGCACACGTCCGAGCGATGCCAAGCGGTCTGCATCGGATCCGTGCCGGAGCCACGCCGGATTCACGCCGGATGGTCCTCGGATGCACGTCGGGTGTGCGACGAAACACCGCGGCGCGGACGTCGTCCAATCTCTTGTGGGGCAGACGTGTGGACTAGATAACGTAGCTACAGTCGGGGCGTTGACCTAAGGAACCCTAAATAAGGAACGAGGCCCCTGTTTTCCATAAGTTAAACTTCGATTCCCCATGGAAGACCTAAGGACAACCTAAGGCAAACTGCGAAACAATTAAGGAACACGGAGCCCCTCCCCAACGAAAAGGGTTCCTTGCTCAGCGCCCCGACTGTGTTGCGCGCCGCGCGAGGCCTCCAGGATTTCCCTCGTAGGATGTGGAATATGTTCGTGAAAGCGAACAGCGTGTTCCAGCCCGCGGAGATCCACTGGATCCTGGGCTGCGCGGACTGGTACGCCACGATGAGCCCGCAGCCAGTCAGGGCAAAAATCCTCAGGAGCAGCATGTCGGTCATCAGATACTCACCCACCCCTGTGAGGTAGCCCAGGTGTGCTGCTACAAGCGACAGGCGCCGGCGCATCTCCTCTTTGCGCAGAACCACGGGGGTTCGAGTGTAGTAGAGTTCCCATGGGTGGCGCCCACGGAAGATCCGCACCATGACAGTCGCCGGGGTACAAGGGGCGCCCTCGACGCACACGGGCACATCGCCGTGAGGAGGAACTATCCCCGGTTGAGCCCGAACGGCCTCGGGGAGCGGGCAGGAGTGGCGACAAGTTGCCCCAGCCGATTCGCAACGTCGCGCGCCACGTCCAACAACGGAAAGCGGCGTGCCAGCGTGCGTGTAGACAGTACAGTTCCAGCTGAACCTGGCGCGAATATGCACGTGGTCAAAGCAAAGGCGACTCCTCTCGACTTGGCAGCAGAGAGTACCGAACACGCATCGACATCTGACCCTATCGAGGTGGAGCGAGGAGGTGGAGAAGGATCAGCAGCAATGGAAAAGAAGCGAGGTAGCGAGGTAGTGGAAAAGAAGAAGGCTGGCCAGCGCGTGCCGATGTGCATCCAGTTCTTGGTCAAGTATGGATCGGTGCTGGTCGCACGCGCGGCAACATTCTCGGTCAAGTACGGGTCCTCCGAGACTCTCGCTGTCGAAAGCATCCCACAACTAGATAGATCGTCCGTATGCGGTGAGCAAGGAGGTGGAGAAGGAGCAGTAGCGAGGAGGCGGAGAAGGAGGCGGATGAGCAGGAGGGAGGAGCGAGGAGCGAGGAGGTCGTCGTCGAACGGCGGATGCAGCAGGGAGCGAGGATGAGCGAGGGGGGAGCGAGGAGGCGGAGGAGGAGGAGGAGAAGGAGGAGGATGCGGGAGGATGCGGGAGGAGGAGGAGGAGGAGGAGGAGGAGGAGAAGGAGGAGGAGGGAGGAGGAGGAGGAAGACGAAGAGCGAGGAGGAGGATGCGGGAGGAGGAGAAGAAGGAGTAGGAGAAGGAGGATGCGGGAAGAGGATGCGGAAGGAGGATGCCGGAGGAGGAGGAGGAGGGAGGAGGAGGGAGTGAGGAGGAGGACAAGGAGAAGGAGGAGGAGGGGGAGGAGGAGGAGGCTGCGTTTTTTAAGCGAGGAGAAGCAGGAGGAGAGGCGAGGAGGAGGAGGAGGAGCAGGAGGAGGGAGGAGGAGGAGGAGGAGGGGGAAAGGAGGAGGAGAGAGGAGGAGGAGGAGGAGGAGGACGAAGAGCGAGGAGGAGGAGGCGGGAGGGGACAGGACGAGCACGCTGCCTGTTTGCGCCCGCGTCGCGAGAGGCCCCGCCTCGCGCCTCGGCCGCCGCTCCCCGCCGCGGCGGCCACGCCCCCGCGCGGCGCCTCGGCACTCCCCGCGCCGGAGTGCCCGCGGACCGCCTGGCGAGCCCTCCTCCTCCTCCTCCTCCTCCTCCTCCTCCTCCCCTCCTCCTCCCCCTCCCCCTCCTCCTCCTCCTCCTCCTTCCTCCTCCTCCTCCTCCTCCTCCTCCTCCTCCTCTCCTCCTCCTCCCCTCCCCTCCTCCCTCCTCCTCCTCCTCCTCCCCTCCTCCTCCTCCTCCTCTCCTCCTCCTCCTCCTCCTCCTCCTCCTCCTCCTCCTCCGGATCCCGCGATCGAGCCCGAGCCCCCCAGGGCGGACGAGATGGGCGTCAAACGAGGGGGCGAGAGGGGCCCAGGAGGGTCGTTGGGAGGCCCCCGCCCCCCTGGCAAAACAAGGGGGAGATGCCTCCTTGTGGCGCGGGCTTGTGGCCGGAGCGGGGGAGCTGGGACCCCCAACGATGCTGCGCAGGTAATGGTTCCCCCGCGGCGGCCATCGCTGACGATGGGGGGATGAGGATCCCTGATGATGATGATGATGATGATGATGATGATGATGATGATGATGATGATGATGGTGATGATGATGGTGATGATGATGATGATGATGATGCTGATGATGCTGACGATGATGGTGCCGATGATGATGATGCTGATGATGGTGATTATGATAATGGTGTTGCTGCTGCTGATGATGATGATGATGACGATGATGCTGATGATGATGCGGATGATGATGGCGATGCTGATGCTGATGCTGGTGATGATGCTGATGATGATGATGATGAGGAAGATGATCAGGGGAGACGAGGAAGGACGAGTTGAATTGACAGCCGAGAGCTTAGAGAGGGGTGGGACCAGTTAGCATTAAAGACCCTGTGGGGTTAGAGGCCTCCTAGAAGGAGTCGCAGGGTCGCGCAGCATCGCAGACGCATCGCCGACGCATCTCCGATGACTCGGCGGTGCAGCGGCAACACCAGCGATGCCTCGGCGCCGTCAGCGTGGAGAAGGAGATCGGGCCCCGCATCGCCGATGTATCGGGGATGCAGCGGGATCCTCCGACCCCATCTGCAGTCGAGCTGCTGAAGTAAGGAACGCTACGTAAGGAACGAAGGCCCTCTCTGGCACCACAAGAGCCTGGGTGCACGAGGAGGGCTGGAGGAACAACCGCGGAATGACCGAAGGAACGGCGAGACCCTTCCGAATCCAAGACAGTCCTTACTCAAGGGCTCCCAACTTCGCGCTTCGCGCTGCGCGAAGCGCGAAGCGCGAATAACTTCGCGCTCTCGCGCCGCCCCCCAGAAGGGAGAAAAGGAGGACGAGGAGGAGGGGGGAGAAGGAACGAGGACCGCGAAGCGCGAAGCGCGAATAACTTCGCGCCCTCGAGGGTGCCCTTGCTTACTCCAGCGTCTTGGCTGCACTCTGACCCATCCGGGAGGCCTGGAAAGAGCCGGGATGCCACGACACACACGCCGCCGTGGGGGGGAGCCGCCCGCGTGCCACTGCTCGAGAAGACACCACCACGTCTTCGGGCAGCAACGGAGGGGTGGCACGCCGGCGGGTTCCCAACTGATGCTCCTCCTCCTCCTATGCAGGATGGCCCTCATTCCAGAAGCACTGGCGGAACAGACAGTGAGTGTCCTGCCGCCGGGGAAGACCCCGAGGAGGGCGCTCGCTCCAGCAAGAGACGACCGCGACGCCCACAGTCTGTCCTGCAACTCGATTCGCCATCGCCCAGGGCGCTGCTGCGTGACGGCTCCGCCCGGTACAGTCGGGCTGCTGAAATAAATAAGGAACGCTGAATGAGGAACGAAGCCCCTCTGCGGCTTCAAACAAGCCTGGGTGCACGAGAAGGGCCAGAGGAACAACCACGGAAGGACGTAAGGAGCATCGAGCCCCTTCCGAATCCAAACTGCTCCTTATTTCAGCGTCTTGGCTGTAGAATCGAGAGCCTGCAGCAGCATAGGGGGTCCGCGAATCCGCCCGCGCAACGGGCGCCTCCCGGCGCCTCCCGGCGCCCGTGCGTCGAGGGAAGGGGCCCGGGCAGCGGAGCCGGAGCCAGCTGCGCGCCGCAGGTCTCGCACCCCCCACCCCCGCCTCTCCCCGCTCGCCCCCTTCGTCCGCCCCGAGCCTCACGCGTACGCGGCGTCGGAGTCGAGGTCCAGGTCGTCCCCGCCCTCGTCGTCCACGTCGTCCCCGCCCTCGGTCGGCCGCTCTCTCTCTCTCGAAAGCTGCCCGCACGCCGCGCGCAGCACGCAGCGTGCTCACGGGGAGCTCCGCACGCGCTCGTCCGCCCAAGCGCGGGCCAATGCTCGGAGCCAGCACGCAACGTGTCGACACGGACGCCTCGAGCACGGCGCGTGCTGCGCTGCAGAGCGGGCGCATCTGCGCAGCCGAGGCCCCATCTGCTTCGGGGGAGGCAGCGCGGACGCGGCCGCGGCCCGAGCCGGTGGTGATGCGGATGCGGGGCGCGCGCGCGGGCGGGGGGATGGACGCCCCCGCGGGCTCTCGGGTTGCGTCGACCAGAGCGCCGGAGGCTCCGCCGCCCCGCATGCGCAACACGCCACCCGCAGCGTCTTGGCACGGAGCCCAACACGCGGATTGAAAACCGCAGAGTTCTGGCGCGGCGCGTTCGCCAAAACGTTGGCCAACACGCAGCCCGCAGCGTGTTGGCACGGAGCCCAACACGCGGATTGAAAACGCAGAGTTCGGGCGCGGCACGCTCGCCAAAGCGTTGGCCAACACGCGCCGAGGCAACGCGCGGCGAGGGCGCACGGACGCTCGGAGCACGGCACGCGCTGCGTTTCCAACGCGGGCGCGTCGGGGCAGCCAGGCGCTGGAGGCGCTTCCCCTGGCTTGCAAGCTCGACGGCTCTCTTGGCCTTGACGTGGGGCCCCTCCTTCTTTTTCCCCCCTCTGTCAATTCAAGCTGTGCGCGGCCCGCTGAGCTTCGACCGGAAGAGGCTCGCTCTCGACCCGCGGATCGAAACAGTTCGACGTCTTTCTCCGCGTGGGGGCCAGTGCTTGTCGCTCTTCCCGTCTCGGGGTGCTCGTCCGCGCCGTTGTCGGTCCGGTTCGTATCTTTGAAAGGGGCCCCAGGACACACAAATAAATGCACACAAATAAAAATATTCCCCATAGTTTCCCATACTTTCTGGGTTTCTGTCTTCCCCCCCACTTCCCATATGTTCCCACATTTTCCGGGGAATCGAAGATGAATTGTGTCTGTGTGTTTCTTTTCCTCCTGAATCTTGTGCTGCAGGTGTTGTTCTGTTTTGGGCTGCCGCTGTGTGCCTGTTCAGGGTCTGGCCGAACACCGAGCACCGAACAATTGCAAAGCTTTCGGGGGCCGCGGGGGGGCAAGTCCGCGGGCGCGCATATGCCAGTGCTGGGAGGACCCACGTTTCCGAGGCCTGGACATGGGCACCAACCCCAACGCAGGGGAAGATGGCCTTTAGATTTGGGCGCCCTCCTGGGAAGACCGAATGTTACCACCGTCACCGAGATTGGGAACGTCTTCCACCGATGGAGGCACACCGCCGACAGTGGTGCTGGTGTCACCCTCTGGGCCCTCCAATTCTCGGGCGTGCCAGAAGCCGTCCTGGCCGCAAGGTGCCCCCAGGTCGTCGCTGCGCTCTTGCGAAGGGGCCCCGGAGCACACACATAAACAGACACGAGCAAGAGGATACCCAATCGTTTCCCATACTTTCTGGGTTCCCCCCACTTCTCATATGTTCCCATATGTCTGCGGAGGAGGAGGAGGAGGAGGAGGGGGAGGAGGAGGAGGAGGAGTAGAGGAGGAGGAGGAGGAGAGGGAGGAGGACGGACGAGGAGGAGGAGGAGGAGGAGGAGGAGGAGGAGGAGGAGGAGGAGGAGGAGGAGGAGGAGAGAGGAGGCGGAGGAGGAGGAGGAGGAGGAGGAGG